TGAGGAGATGCTCGGCCCAAACATGCCCCAGCGACTAACACGTTTCCAAGGTGTCTTGGGATTGTCTGGGGAGGCTAAAGACATGGGTCCAAAGCCCAGTTCCGGGAAAGAGCTTTGCCAGGGCACAAAAGACTGTATTTCAAGCACGAGGCTCCTTGACCCCTGGGCTTTATTTATTTATTGCTTTTTGGGTCACATCCAGCAATGCTCAGGGATTATTCCTGGCTCTGCACTCAGGAATTACTCCCGGCGGTGTTTGGGAGACCATATGGGATGCCGGGGATTGAACCCAGGTTGGCTGCGTGCAAGGCAAACACCCTACCCACTATGCTATCGCTCCGGCCCCAACCCCTGGGCTTTAAAGGGCACTTGAGGTTATAATGGATTTGATTGCCAGAGCACTTGCTGGGGAGTCCTGTTGGAGTAGGCTCGTTGCTGAGCGCCAAGGAGGGCTACGGATGACTGGGAATGGCTCAGACCACCACCATGTCCCCCCGGGGGGGCGGGCGCAGGAAGCAACACTGCATTCCTGGAGGCAGCGAGCGAGCGGGCGTTCCCATCAAAGGCCAGGCAGTGCCTTCCTTGAAAATGCCCTGGCAAGAGACCCCAGGCAGGACAGTTGGAAACCCCCTAAAAGACCATTGAAGCATTCTCCCTCTTGCCTTGAGTTGTCCACAGTCCACTCTACTGGGTGCCTTTATAATTTTTTTTAACTGGGTGTCTTTTTTTTTTTTTTTTTTGCTTTTTGGGTCACACCCGGTGATGCACAGGCAGGGGTTCCTCCTGACTCTGCACTCAGGAATCACTCCTGGCGGTGCTCAGTGGGGAGACCCTATGGGATGCTGGGAATTGAACCCGGGTTGGCTGCGTGCAAGGCAAACACCCTCTCCGCTGTGCTATCGCTCCAGCCCCGAGTGTCTTTTCAGAAGAAATTTGTGGGATACTCCTAGGAATCATCTGCACCCACAATTGGGGGGAAGGTACAATTTCTTTACTCTGAGACACTCTTCTCTCTCCGGGGAAACCCCTGTTTCCATCGGAATTGGCTCCCGCTCTCCCTCGCTTCCCCTAAACACAGCACCTGTAGCCTGGGGAGCCCAGACTGGGCTGGGACGTGACTGTTGGCACTGGGTAGCAGGTCCAGTGGGAATGGTGAGTCCCCGCCGCCCCCTTCCCCGGGCACCTGAGCCATAACGCTGTGGGAAGCAGGTGGTGAGCCCACTCTCGGGGCTGCCTCCCCCTTCTGGGGCTCCCCAAGCTCCTCCTGGCAACTCCGAGGCCTCTTTGGTGCACAGCTAGCAAAAACAATACATGTACCCATTCCCCTCTTGGGGCTCCAGCCCTGTGGCATATTCAGTAAGCTGAGTTCCTGGTGTTCTTTTTCTTTTTTTTTTTTAAATTTTTATTAGTGAAACACCATGAGGTACAGTTGCAGACTTAGAGATTTTTGTGCTTGGGTTTCAGTAATACAATGATCGAGTACCCATCCCTCCACCAGTGCCCATTCTCTACCACCACTGATCCCAGTCTCCCTCCCATTCCACCCTGCCTCTGTAGCAGGGCATTCCCTTTTGTTCTCGTTCTCTCTCTCTCTCTCTCTCTCTCTCTCTCTCTCTCTCTCTCCTTTTGGGTGCTGTGGTTTGCAAAAGAGGCACTGAGTGGCAAATAGAATTCAACAACTCATCAAAAAAGATCATACACCATGACCAAGTCAGGGATGCAAGGATGGTTTAACATTTGGAAATCAATCAACATAATCCAACATATCAACAAAGGTAAAGGTAAAGGTAAAGGCCCTCCCGTTGATCTTCGATTTGCTCGAGCGGGCCCAGTAACGTCTCCATTGGAGACTTTGTTGTTACTGTGTCTGGCATATCGAATACGTCACGGGGAGCTTGCCAGGCTCTGCCGTGCGGGCGAGATCCTCTCGGTAGCTGGCCGGGCTCTCCGAGAGGGGCGGAGGAATCGAACTCGGGTCGGCCATGTTGGCTGCGTGCAAGGCAAACGTCCTACCCGCTGTGCTATCGCTCCAGCCATCATTTGGAAATCAATCAACATAATCCAACATATCAACAAAAGAAAAGATAAAAACCAGATGACCACATCAATAGATGCAGAGAAAGCATTTGACAAGATCCAGCACCCGTTTATGATGAAAACCCTTGCCAAAATGGTGTTCTTTTTCTGCCCAAACATTAGTCGCCTCTGCTGACGCTGGCCAAGTAGGCCCAGTAAGACATCTGCCTGTAGGAGGTCCGGCTGGGGAGAATCTCAGAGAAGTTCAGTGTGATTTCCATGGTGTGGGGTGCATCCCCCCTAACTCAGCTGATGATCCTTGAGTCACCCCCAAACCCGGGCGCAGCCTGCCAGAGGCTTCTGAATTTTGGAGGGAATAGGGCCCTCATTTGGGTTGTTACTCTTTGGGGACGGTTGTGGGGGTACCGGAGAACGGAACCTGTGTCGCGGACATGCCAGGCCTGCGGTCTAAAACGGCCCCTGGCTCTGCAAGGCCAGGCCCTTCCCACTGTGCTTTCTCTCCAACTCCAGACTTTTCTGATAAGAGAGAATTTCAGGGAACATGCGTGGAAGCGGTTAATTACAGAGCCTTAAGATCACTGATCTGGGGCTTTATTTATTACTTATTTTGCCTCTTTTTTGGGTCCCACCCGGCGATGCACAGGGTTTACTCCTGGCTCATGCACTCAGAAATTACTCGTGGTGGTGCTCGGGGGACCCTCTGGGATGCTGGGAATCGAACCTGAGTCGGCTGCATGCAAGGCGAATGCCCTACCCGCTGTGCTATCACTCCAGTCCCTGGGCTTTATTTTTTTTACTTTAGGTGAGCCAATTCTCTTTCTCACATGTAATGAAATCTTGTTCATCTGTGTACTGAGTAACTAACTTGAATAAATTCTCCAATAATGCTAGCATTCATAACTGTACGTATATTTTTGTTCCATAAATAGAGTACCCTACTCCTTGCAGACATTGGGATAGGCTGTGGGCATGCATAGAAACAGATTTTCATAGGAGGAAAATAAAGCAATACAGACCAGGTCAAGCCATTTTTAATTTTACAGCTATTTTTCCCTTAAATAAAAATTCATTTCACAAAAACTTTCTTTCACAGAAATGAAATCAAGACTGAACAGCACATACGCTGACTTCAATCACTTTTTGAAAGTCACATTAATTTACCTCTTGGAACCCAAGTTGAAAACAAAGATTAAACAGAAGATGAGAATTTAAATAAGGGTCCCCGCGTTTTTTCGCAGTGGAGATAATTTCCATTCGGCACCAACATACCTGTGCTTCAGAGGCTGAGGAAACGGGCCTTTCTGCAGCAACCCTGATAAGTAGAACTTAGACCAATTTTTAGATTAATTGTCTCACGAGTACATTTTGCACTGTGCGGGCTTGGTGCGGTCTGGAATAATGAGATTACAGGGGTGGGGGGAGGTTGAATAATTTGATTTCGACCCACCCCAAAGCTTAATTACCATAAATCAATCAATTCCGCCCCCAATTCATTGGCGGCCACCACTGACTGTTTGAACAGCCCGTGCAGCGCCAGGAATTCTTGGAGGCTGCGAGGGCCCAGGACTGAAAGCTCCAGTCCTTCACCGAACCTTTGAGCATCTCTCCGATTCTCCTCCGGTGCAGAACCTGCAGCTCGGCACTGTTACAAGCAGAGCATAGGGGGCCGGAGAAACAGCGGGTATACCGGGCGTTTGTTTGCTTTGCACCCTGCCGACCCCGACCATAAGGGATGCAGATTCCCAACATCCCTTAGGGTCCCCCGAGCACCGCCAGAAGGAAACCCTGAGTGCACGAGCCAGGAGGAACCCCTGTGCATCGCCGGGTGTGACCCAAAAGCAAATAAATAGATAAATTAATTAATTAAAAAGCGGAGCATCTCTCTCCAAACAGGCCTGCTCGGGCTGGCTTTTACTTCGTTTCTTTAAAAATAAATAATTAAAAAATCTCTAGTTACGACGATGCTTTTTTTTTTTAACTTCTCACAGCACTACTCAAAAATAAAATAAAGTAAAATCCCCAACCGAGTCGGTCCGGGGAAAATCGGCCCCAATGCGTGAAATCGCCAGAGCCCCGGGGACCCGCGACCGCGGCGGCGGCCGCATGGGAAGCCCCGCCCCCCCCACCAGACCCCCTTTAATCAGCTAATTAACCCCGTTTCCCGGAGGCTCGCGCGGGGGGCGGGGCCGGCCTCGGCCACGCCCCCGGGGCGGCGGCGGTCGGAGGCGGGGGGCGGGGCCTCGGCCCGGTTCAAACTGGACGCGGGAGGCGCGACGCGGGGCTCGGCAGGTGCCCGCGCCCGCCCGCCCGGGGCGGCACTTCCGCCCTTACCTGGCCGCGGCCGGAAGCCACCTCAGCCGGGCACCGCCCCCACGCGTCGCTGGAGTTGGCGTGACAAGGGCGAGGCCCCGGAGACGCGGGCGCTCGCGGAACGCCCCCCATCCCCCCGCCGCACGCCCCTCTGCCCCGGGGGTCTCCGTCCCTTCCCTCGGGAAAGAGGGGCGAGAAGCCAGAGTCCATAAAAGCGACGAGCCCGGGGTGGGGGGTGGGGGAGGCTCGCGCGCCCGCGGCTCTCAGAGCACTTCCCGGTTACGGCAGGCGGACGGGAGCCGGGCCGCCGCCGCCGCCGCCGCCGCGCGCCTGCGCCGTGAGCCGTCCAGCCGGGCGCGCGCGTGCACGCGCGGGGAGGCGAGCGCAAACCGAAGGGTGCGCAGGCGCAGCGCCGCCCCAGGAAGCCGAGGCCTCCTCGGTGACGGGCGCGGGCGGCGCGGCGCGTGCGTCGAGCGCCGCGGGGGGGCGGGGGGCGGGGCCGGGCCTCGCGCGCGGCCGCGGGGCCGGGCGCGCGCGCGCGCGAGCCGAGCGGGCGCGCGCCGGCGCGAAGAGGGCGGCGCGGAGGGCGGGCGGGCGGGCGGCGGGGGAGGGCGGGCGGCGGGGAGCGGGCGATTTTGGTTAAAATATTCAAAATGGCGGACGGAGGAGCAGCGAGTCAAGATGAGAGTTCGGCGGCGGCGGCGGCGGCGGCAGCAGGTAATCATTACGGCACTTTACATATTCATATTCATACTCGGCCCGGGCGCCCCGCTCGGCCGCCCCCCCGCCCCCACCCCGCCGCGGCCGCGGGCCGCTCCCCCCGCCCGCCGCCCGCCGCACCCACCCCCGCCGCGCGCGCGCCGCTCGCCTTAGCATAATTTATTAGTACTCAGGATTATTCTAATTAACGGCGGGCCGCGGGGGGCCGGGCGGGCGGGCGCCGCGCCGAGGGGGCCCCGAGCGGGCGCGGCGCGGCGCGGCCGGGCGGAGCCGGGGTGCGGGGGGGTCCCCGCGGCCTCGCCCCCCGCCCGCCGGCGCACCCCGCCGGCCGGGCCCGCCGCTCCCGCCGCCGCCGCCGCGGGTCGGGCGGGCCGGGGCGCGGGCGCGCGAGGACAATGAGGCGTTTGGCAGCGCGGCGGCGGCGGCGGCGGCGGGGGGCGGCGGGGGGCGGCGAGCACAATGCGCGGCGCGCGCGGGGGACCCCCTCCCCCCGGCCTGGGGGGCGGCCGCCCCGTCGCGGGAAACCCCCCCCCGCTCCCTGGCGTCTCCCACCGCCGCCCCCTGCGGGGCGCGCGCCCCTCTCCCCCCACCCCCACGCCCGGGCCGCGGGGGAACCGGGACCCCCGCCGGCCGCCGGCCCGCCGCGGCCCGCGAGGTCTCATTTGAATAATGTCTAATTCGGGGAGGTTTATATTATTGAAATGGCCGCCCGCCTCTCCCCGCCTCTCATGTTTAGTAATTCCGACCTTTTAATAACAGCCACTCACAGCCCAACGCCGGTGTTTATATTTTACATTCGCCCCATGTGCTTTTGTGGTTCGCGATGATGATGCTTTTTTTTTTTTGCTTTTGCTTTTGCTTTTTTTTTTGCATTTTTTTTTTTTTTGCTGCTGCTGCTGCTCCTCTCGCTTCTCTCCTTTCGGTCCTGCTGCCGCCCGGACCTCCGGGGGCCCGGCGGGGGGCCTAGGCCGCGGGGGGGGGGATCCTGCCGCGCTCCCGCTGCCGACCCCCGCCCCCCGCCCCCGCCCCCGCGAGCGCCCCCGGGGGTCGTCCGAGCGGCCGAGCCCCCCTACCCCCCCATCCCCCCGCTGGCGCGGCCCTCGGCGGCCCCCGGACGGGCTCCACGCGGGCCGCGCTGGGATTTTTAATTTAAAAAAAAAAAGAGAGAGACTTTTTCTCGCAGTTGGCATCAGCGGCGGAGGTGGGCAGGGAGGGCGCTTTGCGACCCCTTCTGGTTTTTGAGGACTCGCTCCAGCAAACGACTTGGGGGGGTTGCCCGATCTCCCTGCCCTTGGCCTCCCCCCCCCCCGCCCCCAACGCCAAGTCCCGCCAAGCCCCCCTCTCCGCTTCCCACTGGCGCTGATGGAGTTGTGAAAGCGTGGGATGGGTGGGAGGTTTGCAGGGGTCTTGGGGGGCTGGCGGTGCATCTCGAAACCCCCACGGGCAGCACTTGCTTGGGTGATTTTCTCCTCCTCCAGCCTCTTCTCATTTTAAAATGCGCCTGCTGGTAATTTGGGGCTCCCACTTTTCCGAAACATGTCGCTTTTTAGACTAGAGACCCCCTCCCCGACAAATGGGGGCTCTGTGTGTGTGTGTATGTATGTGTGTGTCCCCGTTTGGCTCTTGTTCCCCTCCCGGAGTGTGGAATAATCACTCTTATGTTTCGTGTCCCCTTAGAAGCGTGGGCTGGTAAAAAAAAAAAAACAATGAACTTTCGCTCTTTGGAAGAGGATTTCTGGCTCCCCCCCCCTGCAAAGTTTTTTTTTCCCTTTTGTATAGCCCGGGTGCTTTCCAGAGACCGGCCTTGCCGACTTATTATTGCTTGAGTTAGACCCTGGAGGTTGGTGCTAGGGCATCGGAGGGCCACTTTCCTGGCGACGTCAAATTTACGAGACAGTTTGGCTCAACTTGTAATAAAATTCTGGATCGGCTGGGCCGAAAGCAAGTGCTTTTCAAATGACCTCTTCGCACCATTTTCCCTCCGCTAGACGGGGGCCCTGCAGGCGGCCAAGAGAGGGGTAGGGGGGGAGGGGACACCAAGTCCTGTCGCTTTCCTGAGACTATTCAGGTATGAGGCTTCCGAGACCGAAGCATGAGGCAGGCCGAGTGGACAAAAGCCGTAGCGGGATTTCATGCCTTAGCCAGCATATGTTTTTGCACCCTCATCCCAAGATGCGGTGAAACTGGTGATGTCATTGGCCAGAGGACAAGGTGCAGTTAATTTGATTGATTGTCGGGAGGTGAAGTGGAGCCGCGGGATGAGGCCTTCTCCCAGGGAAACCGTTGATCCCGGGACAATTTCCTTTTGCACCGCCATTTAACCCCCACCACCGTGGCTGGCTGCAGAAATTTTGGTCCAGGATGATTTGGGGAGGAAAATAAAAGCATGCCTTGCATTTTATAAAATAAAAATTCTCTGCTACCCCAAAAAGGGTGAATGTTGTGAACTGACTTCATTTGGCTTGGCTTTCCACTCTGTTGGAGAAATTCATTTCTTCAAATTCTTGAATGGAGACTAGACTTGAAATAAGTATGACCACAGCCGTGATCCATGTGCCTGCTTATTTTAGACGGGCTGCCTGGGATCTTTGTAACCTCAGCTAGCAGTACTCTTTGTAAGCCCAGATATAGTAAGAAGCTGTTCTTGCTTTTGCTTTTTTTTTTTTTTTAACATATTAGCGTAACGGAGACCAGTAAGAGACCATTTGCCTTGTAACATTTCATCGAATAAATTGATATCAAAGAGAAAGAGCAAGGTCATCTTTTGAGGCTTAGGTTGAAATCCTAGTGTTTAAAATAAGGTAGATTACTTCGAACATAGGCTCTGCAAATAGTTTTTTAAAAATTCAAAATTCGCTTTGGATTTGCCTTAACTTAGTGTGGACACGTTTTAAAATTTCATTTCCACGTGTGACTTTTAAGATCTCTTGTGAGGTGGTGGTTCTGCATGTAATTCAGATTTCCGTGTGAGGCGAGGTTCTTATCCGAGTTTCATTTCTCGAGAGCGAGGTCTGGAATGCGGTCGAACCCGGCCCTGCCACTGGTCGCTTCTGAGCCTTTCTCAGCTGCCGGCCTCGTGCTGTAGGTCAGGTGACTTCCCACAGCCTCGCAGAAAACCCAGAGTCCCTTCCCTCTTAATTTGTCCCCTTATTCAATTAGAAGGTACTTTTGAAGTTGGAGTTCGACAATGCATGTGACAGCTGGCCAAATGCTTTTAATTTCTCAAAGAACTGTTGTGCCGCCAAACCATTACTGTACAAATTATTGCCTTCTTCCCCAAGCTCATTTCTCATTCCTTTCATTTTGTCATTGTCAATAGTCCCAGTAGTCAGGGAAAATACAAACAGCCACTATTAGCAGCTTTGAATGGTGTTCGGCTGTAGTTCCCACTTACCAGTCTCAGCCGATGGGTGCTACGGAGCAGAAGGAATGAAATGCACTTCACTGCTGCTTAGGTTGAAGTCCCTGTCAAAGCTGTTATTCATCTGCTCTGCAGATCTTGGGAGACGTTTAGGACTCCGAACGTTGTGTTTTTCAAGCCACCAGAGATGCTTAAAGGAACTCTTAACTCCGTTCAGCAGGTGGTTTTAGAATGACAGCTGAAAGTCTGAAAGCGGCCTTTCATAAGCACTTCCTACTAAACATGTAATATTTAATAGTAGTTGGAGTTTCTGGAGTTCATATGATTTCATCTGGAGTTTGGTGTGTGTGTGTGTGTGTGTGTGTGTGTGTGTGGAAGATGCAGCTTTAGAGCCTGCCACTCGCCTTCGTGGACCTCGTAAAGACTGTTTGCTAGTGATGGAGAAGACTACAGAAGTCATGATTTCCTTTTTCTTGGTTCATTTTGTTTGGGTTGAAAACCCACCGCTTTAGCCTGCGCGTACTAGTGTGTTTGCAAGCACTAGTAGAATTAATTTTCTTCGAAAATACTGGCTAGTGATCATTGCTACTTTGCTTTATTTGGGGGAGGGGCATTTGGGTCACACCTGGCGATGCTCAGGAGTTACTCCTGGTCCTGCAGTAAGGAATCACTCCTGGCGGTGCTCGGGAGGGACCACACGGGATGCCAGGGACCGAATCCGGGTCAGCCATGTGCAAAACAAACACCCTACCTGCTGTACCATTGCTCTGGCCCCACTAATTTGCTTTTTATACCACAGTGTTGGGTCAGTGACATAGTTTCAGAGAGGAGTAGGCTTAGATGTCTCATTTTCAGAGGGCAGGTGCTTTTCCTAGTGGATGCAGTTGCATTTAGAGCTATTCACAGGACTATTGTTTAGAGAACCGAGTCAGTCACAGACCAAAAGGCCCTGGTAGGGTCCCTCTGCTCTTTCGCAGGCATTCAGTGTTAAGTGCATGAGCAAACATGTCTTTTTATTTCTGGGAACAAATCTAAAATTGGGTTTTAGAATATGGAACTTAATTGAATAGCTGTATCCTTCTGGATTCTTTCTTCTTGACTTTAGGAAATTGTGAGCCAGAATTTAGCTAAATTCTTATATTCTTGTTATGTTATTTAAAAGTGACAATTTAGGGCTGGAGCAATAGCACAGCAGGTAGGGCGTTTGCCTTACGCATGGCCAACGTGGGTTCGATTCCCAGCATCCCATTGGGTCCCCTGAGCACCGCCAGGGGTAATTCCTGAGTGCAGAGCCAGGAGGAACCCCTGTGCATTGCCAGGTGTGACCCAAAAAGCAAAATAAATCAATAAATAAAAGTGAATTTTTTTGGGGGGGGATAGAAAGGTTTACAGTAGAGGGAAAAGGAAAGAAACTTCGCAGCTGGGAGGAACTTAGTATAGGACTAAGTTAAGTGATAAATCTTTTTGAAGACTGGGGACTAATGCTCGAAAGGCATGTTCTACTTGGGGGGGACACACACCCCCAGATTCAATTCCTGGTACTGCATAGTTCCCAGAGCACTGGGTGAGTATTGCTGAGTGAGCCTCCATCCCCAAAGAGTTCTTTTTGAGTGGAATCAGGGTTGAAGGAGTAATA